GATTCAACAGATTGTTGAATTTCTTAGCATCATGACCTAAATGTAATAGTCTAACTCATTCAATTGTTTGATCCATGATCTGCTGGTTTCAATAATGGTTTTTCTTATTTAAAAAAATGTTGTATTTGCTTATTTAAGTTGTTAATTACATTGCTTATTTACTTGTTTTGAGCTAATTGTTATTTATGTTTAGTTTATATATACTTAAATATTAGTAATTATTAATTAGTTACAAAATCCAAAACCTTATTATCATCTTAACTTAATTAGTTTTTCACATATCTACTTTGTTATTTTATTTTATGTGGATTCTGACATTTAAATGTTACATCGGCATGACTATGCACTTGTGATACTGTGTATTTATAGGTGAAAACTTTGGCACAACAATATGGTGTGGGAGGGAAAATTAATAGAAACTACTAAACTACAATTACTCTTAGTTTTTTTTTTTCTTTTTGGGTCAAATGTTTTTACTCTTAATGGTATGTTTAACAAATACCATTAAGTTTCCCGCATACCTACTATCATGTCATTCTACTTTTCTGAGGATTCGATATTTTCATGCTACATCGGCATAACTATATACTTGTAAGAGTGTGTATTTTGAGGAACTAATATAAACTACTAAACAACACCTTTTTTTTTTTGATAAAACTACTAAACTACACTTAATCGTAGTGATATGTTAAACAAAGAAAGATGTTACTAGAAACCACTAAACTACGATCTTGGTGAGAAAAGAAAAATGTTGTAACAGGTTTTGCATTTATTATAGATTCGAGTCTAAGACAATTATGGTGGTTGACCATATAAATAGCATGTGAAGTGGTGGATTTCACATCTGGAGAGAGAAAAAAAATGGTATGACTATGAGCAACTAAGCATTTGCTAATGACTTTTAAACTTCTTGGATTCTATATTGGATGCTAATAATAATATTTAATACCTTCAAGTACTGATAATATTTAATTGTTCTCGGATTTTAAGAATAATTTATTTAAAGTATTCAAGATCTCGCACGGCGTTCTCTAGCTATCGTCGCTACAGATCGTTTATTGCCGGACCTGTCGGTATTCGAACATTGGCATAAGTATTAGGGGTTGTATAAGAACTAGTTTCTTTTAGCTTGCTGTGTTTTACAATAGTTCTTTTTCCTTTCTATCAAATTAAGAAGAATAGGTAATAACTATATTTTTTAAAAAGCCCAAATGATCCTCCATCTCTAGTGGTACCAGTGTATTAAAAACTAACTATACTTTGAAACTAACTATATTTTAAACCTAACTATTGCTATAATTTATGAGTACCTAGAGATAGCATGTAACACTAATTAATTATTTATATAAATTTATGTTTCCTGTACTTTTTTTTGGGTAACCTTTAATAGCATTTTCTTTGATTGTTACAATAAAACAAACTACTCCTTCTGTTTCTTAATATAAAATGTTTTAGAGGTTTTTTTTATAAGATAAGATGTTTTCAGATTTTTAGTTAGCTTTTATTTTTATTGAATACTGTGTAACCAATAGTATTATGCAGTCTTTTTTTTTAAATAGTTAAATTGTTTGTATTTTATTTATTTAA